ATCTGCAAAGGAACATTAGTTATAAACTTGTTATATATATATATATATATATATATATATATATATATATATATATATATATAGATAGATAGATAGATAGATAGATAGATAGATAGATAGATAGATAGATAGATAGATAGATAGATATTTTATAATATTTTCATTGTCTAGGAACTTAATAACTTTGGTAAGGATTTCTTCTGGTATATTCTGGTGTATTCCAAGATCTTTTAACCTAGCGGTGTAAAGAGGGCATCCTTCCAAAATATGTTTTATTGTTAATGACAGGTCAGACTTTTGACATTTGGGGATATGAGTAATTCTACATGACTATGAATATGGCCATTTTATTTTTTTCTTCAAAACATTACTTAAGCTCCTTTGATTCTCATTATATTTTTCAATTATTAACGTTTAAGTATAATTTACTATTTGCAAATGCATAACTTTTACATATCCATTAATCCTTCTAACACTTTTGTCATTATTTAACATTTCGTAATTTACTGAATTAATTTCATTTTTAATCCATTTAATTGTTTGTATGTTTTACAATAAGGCCATTATAATGTTATGTAAAAGGCAAGATTGCCTCCTATAATACAATTATCTCAATTGTTTAAATAATTGAATTCAGTGGTGCCCATCTCGGGAACTAGTGAACCGATTTTGTTGCTTCTTTTATTTTGTAGGGTTTTGACTGCTGATACAAATCGGATGCTCCATGTGCAATAGCTGCTGAGCCATAAATGAAAAACATGCGTTTCTATATAATGTAGCGCGAAAACGTCTCTAACGATTTTGATGCAAGTCTCCTATAATGTCATAATAATTGTCCTTTCAGTTTCCGTACATTGACTAAACTCCAGAAAAAAAAAATCAGGAAAAAATTTATAAAGAAAAGTAAAATGTTTTGGGACCTAACTCGCCATGTATATATTCTATGGTAAAATTTAAAAATAAACTTTTGATAGGTAATTAAATTTTACCAACAAAACAAAAACAAAAATCATTGGAATCTAACCATTATTAGCGATGATTCAGTGTATTCTATTTTCTACGCATGTTTTAATTTATTACATTCCTGTCTATACTAGATTTTAAAGGTAACGAAATTCCCTACAAAACTATATAAAAATCGTTCATTTCGGACAACTATTATCGAAGTTACAGCTATTCAATTTCCAATGTAAGATTAAGGGTACGTATCCTGGTGTCAGAATGGGGCGAATGAGAGAAAAAAAGATAACTAAGCGAAAGTAAGAAAATCTGTTGTCCGCGTCACACAAGTTTCACTATTTCCTCTACTTTTAACAGAAATTATTGTTTGACAAAGTTAGGCTAGGGCAAAAATTTTTTGATCAGCAATATTAGAGGTTATTGAAATTTGTACACTGATCTACCTTGAAGCCGGTTTAAATTGCTTTAGTTTATCAAATAAATCGTACTCACATCTTTTCTTTGGTCAATTTTCAGGAAAATAATTCTAATTCAATTTTTATTCGTTTCTTTATGAGTATATGTAAAAGTATAAAAACGTTTCTGAAACAGGTAGGAAGGTAGACACACCAGATTTTTTTTTAAATTAGCAAGCGAAAGAAGAATTTAAAAAATCATATACAATTACACTTGCTGCGGTCTGATCCATGTTCCCCCCCTGTCACTTAATATGAAACTTTTCATTCCAAAAATTCATAATCGAAATGTGCCCCTCCCCCCCATTACAAGTTGCCCCCGATTGAATTCGAATTAAGAGTTATTTGGTCCTCACTGTTCAATACGAAGTTGATTATAGTCGTATGGATGCAATTTTGTAGAAAATTTGTTAAGGGCATTCATCTAGTAAAAAATGGAATTTAATAGGAATCTACGAGCTGTTTATTTTCATAGTACGCATACAGGAGAGTCCTATGGGAGTCTTATCACGATCCCATAGTTGCTGCATCTGCAATTCTATATGGGCGAGTGAAAAATAATTGAAGGATATCTGGCACGATGTAGTGTTACGACAAATATTGCGCAATTTCATTGCTGGTTCATAAATAACATCAAAGCACGTCGTTTACATAATCTCAAGGTCGATTTTTTTTATTGTCCACCTTCTAGGTTTTCTCGGTAGTGCAACTATGGCAATGAATTCAAATAAAGTAACGGTGTGAAATATTTATTAAAAACCGTATAGGAATATATACCATAATGATGAAAGTTTTTAAACAGATATTTAAAGCCAATGGACAACTAATAAAATTAAACTTTAGACTAGGGGTTACGGTACGGTCGTGATAGTTGTCACATTAGCGAAACTATAAGAGATCGCTTTTAGGTTTATTTGGAAGAAAGGGACGTTGTGCCTGTCTGAAAGTATTTAACGGTATTGGTAACGCATTGCGCGACATTAACGCTAGTAGAGGTCTTCATATACTTATTAATAGACAAAATTAACTATTTTTATTCTTTTCCTTTGAACAATTGTTTTAAATTGTTGTTATATATTTACAGATAGAGTAATGGATGTTTTCCTCGTTTTAAGTTAAACAATAGTTATTAATTAGCAGTTACTTTGTACGTAGATGATTTTATATTGCTATTAACTTGTTCTATAATGTTATAAAATACTATAAAAGTGATTTTAACCTGTTTTTTTTTAAATCTGTCACTGCCTATTCCAAGCACTGTTGGGGTGAGGTCGATTGTGACATAATTCTTTTTTCTAATTTGCTCTTATAAGATAATCATTATACTTTCTTCATAAGTCCTAAAGGAGATACTTTTTTTTTTTTTAGGTATATAAGTAAGATTCATTAACAGTATTTATTCTCCCAACAATTTTTCTTTATTTTATTATGACTCTTTATTTTATTTATAGTTTCAGTATCCACGGTCTTATCCCATCTTCAGACTAGAAATTAGAATATTTTTGTTATTTATATTTTTATACTATCAATACAATATTTTTCATATTATGCTTACCTAATTAACAAATTAAATATATAAAAATAAATATAAATGCTTTGGAATTTAACCCTTTGTTCAAGGTTTGGTTCAGTATCTGACTAGATTCTCCCTAGAGGAGTCCACAATATTATTTAAGGTAATAAATTCATTATAGAAACTTGCTACATACATAAAAATAGTAACAATATAACAAATAAAAACATAAAATTATTGTATTTTAGGAATAAATTATGACGATATAAAAAAAAAATAATTATGACAAATGTTATAAAAAATTAAGATGATATTAGGATGAGTTCCTGGTAAGATTGGCAATTTCTGTTATTGTTGTTAAAAGTTATATAAAAAATATTGTATTGATAGTATAAAAATATAAATATTCTAATTTCTATTCTGAAGATGGGATAAGAAAGTGGATCCTGAAACATCATAATAAAATAATGAAAAATTGTTAGGAGAATAAATACTGTTAATGAATCTTACTTATATACCTCATAACCATTGTACTTACGGACAAAATTTTAGTATTTATATTCTGTCAAGGTTAATATAAAAAATACCTTTCTTATATCTAATCGGTATACTAACAAAATTGAGGACGATTAAATAAAAATTGTCACAACCCAGTCTCCCCTATATTATTAAAACATTAATAAAGTATTTTACTTATGTAATTTTTTTAAAAATTCTTTGTTGAGATATATTACAATCTGTCACATCTAAGGACAATAGTAATAGTGATATTAGATTAGCTCATTCACACTATCTATACAAATAGAATAAAGGTTTTGTCTGTGCATTGAATAGAATCAACACGTTTCATGATATCTTTCCGTTTCATACATTACAGAAACCAAATCCACTTAAAATAATTTGCAAAGTGCAAGACCAAGACCGATTTTGGGCATCACTAATATATATGTAAAGAAAAACCATTGATTTTTTTATGTTAAAACATAAACAGTAGGCACTAATATTTACAGTGTTATATATTTTATGTTATATTAACATATATTATTATATTACTACTATTTATATTTATTCTTAGCATTACGCTTTTTGTTTTATTATTTCTATACCACATGATGAAACCCGATGTTTCCTCTAACTCGATTTAGATGTACAGAACGAAATCATTGCATTGCACAAGTGGTATTGAACAAGATAATTAAACTGTCTAAAAAGCATAACTAATAAAAAAAATACAAATCGGACAAATTTTAACGAATATACAGCTAATTTTGTATTTGCATTCAGTTATTTGGGAAGTGGTTAAACGAAAAATTGAATATGAAATTAAATATTTCGCTTATATCTTGGGCGTCGTTTTGTCTCAATTATTGGGGGGGGGGGGAGACATAATATAATATTATATTAATATTAACATTTTCTGAGTGCCAGACGCAGATGGATTTGTTTCAAGTAATCTGTTGTTAAGTTTCTCCATAGCGTAGAGCAGATAACCAATAAAGCTCATAGTATGAGAACATACATAAATAACAAAATGCGTTTATTTAAGTAGTTATTTTGATATGTATAATTTCTTTTTGTTATCATAAGTAAAAAAGTAATTCTATTTTACTTGACAAGTAGGGAGTTAATCGACTCTACTACACATCATGGATGATAAATATTCAGGACGCAGTCATTATAAAGATTTTATTCCTTAATATTCAAGATTTATATATATATATATATATATATATATATATATATATATATATATATATAATATTGATTAAACTTAATTAATTATAATAATTTAATTTTAATTAAATTTTAATTAATAATAATATAATTTAAGCTTTATAATGACTGCTTCCTGAATATTTATCACCCAAAAATTTATTAATAAAAATAATTATGATTTATTTATATGTAATAACTTGAAAAATGTACTGTCCAAGTTAATTGTTTATCAATTATACATATTCATTTTACAGTAGTTCTTATTGAATAGTAAAAATTTTATTTTTATTAAAATTGCATTTCTCTTTTGTATAGTTATTAATCGAGATTTTGTATTGGAGGAAACGCATATTAATATAACCTTTATCTTATCTAAATTAATTTAGATTTTTTTTTTTGTCTTACTCTGCAGAATCTAATCAGTATTTTTACAGATTATGACGAGGAAAAATATATTTACACGCGAGTTGAACCGTACGCGATCTCGCATCAAGTCATACGGGCCCTCGTGGTATAGTATGAGTGTCGAACTATTTTCGTAATGACTAATATATTTTGCAGAAATGTCTGAGGACCATCATTCTTTCCTGCTGACTCAGCGACGAGTTGGTTTCATTGACTGTTCCTCCAGTAGGACTCGACGCCTTCTCCAGCGTACATCTCTCTCCAGGCTGTGAATAAAATACTCGTCGCGTAATTTTTATATAATTTATTTTATTTTTTTTTTTTTGTTATTTCTTTATAAGTTTCGGTTCAAAGTGATTTAATCAGTATTAGTGTTTAACGCATAATTTATTAGGACTATAAACAATTGAGGTACGTTATCGTTGATTTTTTTTTTTTAAGAACAGTTTATTACATCTTTTAACTCTGTTGTCAGGTTACGTAACTCTACCGCCCTACTTTTCAGGTTGACTGTACTCCGTCAGTCTCTTTTAAAACCTTATTCATTATTCTGATAGTCTAAAATACATTATTTTGTTAAGTATTGTACCGGCTGTGACACGACCACGAATTTAAGAATTTTTTTTTGTTTTGTAATAATAATAATAATAACACTTTATTTATTCTGGGACGAGTCCCTTTAGAAAAATACAGAAAGACATAAATATGGGTTAAGGGGCCATAGAGATACATAAATAAAAATACAGAGTAATTATATAGTCATAGTAAAAAAAAAATGAAAAATTATAAGTTAACTTCTAATTTTAATCGGTAAATTATAAAAAATAGAAGAAAAAAATAGTAGAGAATTTAATGAATAAAACAATGATATAAAAAAAAAAAATCGGAATTCAGAAAAATTAGAAATAAGACATTTTACCAGAGCATTATTTTTATTTATTTATTTATTTAAACCCAAACTGGAAAAATAACATGGCAAAGTGCCTCTGGACCTATTAAGGGATTTAGGTGTAATTTAAATTTTTTTTCTGTTTTTTCTAACTTACAAATGTATTTACAAAGCGATAGTTGCTACATATAAATCATGTCGCAGTTAAAAATGTGTTCCTTAAATGTTTAGACTTTTTTAAATGTAAATTGACCTATTATTATAAAGTTGATTATTATTATTTATTGAATGATAATAATGTAAGCTGATACAATCAAGGGTGACGGGCATTAGCGCTATAAATACCTATGCCGTAAATAAACAAAAATATTTAAAATGGTGTTAGCAGACGTCAATAGATACAAAAAACTTTACATAAACAATGGTTCCGTAGATAACTAGGAGATTTAAGTTTTGCGTTTGAGTATATCCGGTTTTTTATTCAATAGGAAGCGATAACTAAAAAAAATATTTAATTTAGGAAATTAAAAACTATTTCCTAGTAAACTAGACGAAATTTCTTTTGAATTTTAGTAGAGTTTGTCCCCATTTAAAGGGAACTTTTAACCGGCTTAACAATGCTGTATTGTTTTGTTTTTAAATCGTGTATTATTCCAATTTTTTTTTCTTTTATCACCCTCCATCTCGACTATAGGTACCCCACTTGTAGAAAAAAAAACTTCCTTGCTTTTTAAGTCCATATTAATTAAGTTGAGGTTTCTTATGGAATGAGTTTCGATCCGCCTCTAGTTATGTTAAAAAAAAATATGTGATCTTTTTTTTATTTATAAACGTTTTGGGCTCTTCAACCACCTGGGTAATTTTCGCCCTATATTACATTTGGATCAACTACTACATAGGCATACATGACAAAACTACAGCTAACAAATACAATTTAAAGTTGAGAAAATTAAAAATAGTTACAGATGAATCTGATAGTACAATTGAATTAAAGTTATAAAAATTGAAAGTTAAAGATTAAAAGGAGATAAATTAACAAAGACAATTAAAATATTAAGGTGAATGCTTTTAAGAACTAAAAACTAAAAATACGTTTTTGAAAAATAAAAATTAATATTAAAAGATGAAAAGTTAAAGAGTACAGTTTAAATATTACAAAGTATAAGAAGAAAAGTTTACAAAAACCATTAAAATTAAATATTAAAAAGAGATAAGTTAACAAAGACATTTAAATAAATGTTCAAGAATATAACATAAAAATACGATTTAAAAAATAAAATTAATATCAAAAGAAGAAAAGTTAAAAAGTACAATTTAAATATTAAAAATTAAGATTAAAAAAAAATTAACAGGTATATTTACAATTACAAGATGCGATTAAATTTTGTACAAATATGTAGCTGTGAATATGTGAATTGATATATCAAGTATGTCATTTGATATACTGTTATCCCAAATTAATAGCAATAATAGCCTTCGTTAATTTATTAAAAAGCTTTTGTTCTTTTTTCATTCTATGACCTGTGTTGCATTGTTGTAAATTAATCACAAATACACACTTTTACTATTACATGTATCTATCAAAAAATCTATCCTTATTTTATCAAGTGAACAAATTAATGTTCATAATCCTTTACGTTATTATGAAAATAATTCAAGCAATTGGTGGATTTAATTTTAATTTTTAAAAAATTTAAAACGCGAATAATTTAAGATTTTATAAAAAATACAACTTTAGCTGCTTAAAATTTTCCTTTAAATGGTTTTAGCAGAGAAAACCCCTACTTTAATTTAATGGAAATTTTACATAGTTTACTATGAAATAATTTTTAACTAATCAAATATTTTTTTAGTTATCGCTTCTTATTCAACTAAAAACTTGAATTACTTTTTTAAAAAATATAAAATCTAAAGACTCACTTTTCTGCAGAAAACGAGACCAGTGTTAATATAAACTTTTTTGTAGATCATGGGGTCTGGTATTATATCTTTGAATATTTCTCTTTACTTCCTGTGTACAGGCTCGGTTAAAAAAAATATATAACAATTGCAGTAATCGATAGGTTACAAGTATTTGACACTATCTTAAGCTATGAATTAGAATCATGCATGCTAAGAACTGTGAATCTTAACTAACTTATAATATCTATTAAAAATATGTAAAATAATATAATTAAATAATAGAAGAGAAGAACGGTTGGGATGATCAGCCAAATTGAAATGGAAAAAAATAAATAATTTTATTATTTTTCTTCATTTCTTTCAAATATTTATTTTAAAATTAAAGTTTTTAGCTATCAAGAGTAATACATCAAAGAAATGATTTTTTTTTTCAATTATTGCATTTAATTTTTTTTACCATTTCAATTTGATCACCACAACCATCCTTCTTTTCAATTATTCTCCGCAGTCAACCATAAACCCACAATTATAATTAAATAATAACATAATATTTACAATATTTATTGTTAAATTGTAGTGTCGTGGTGGGTAACCAGTTAATTACGAGTAATCCGAATCATGTGATACGTCTCAGCGATACGATATTCTTGTCTGCGGCGATGATTGGCGATATAGTTGTATTACTAACTGTTGCATTATAGAAGGGATATCGTATCGCTTGTGACATATCGCCTTCTGTGTGTAGTAGCCTTAAAAGTAACCGGTTATTAATATACAGATAAATTTTCCTGGTACTCAACCGATGATTCATAACGTAAAACTGATTATTTTTATTTAATTAAAGTTATCTATTTTATTTAATGAATAATTTTAATTGCACACAGCTTGTAATCATCAATTGACCAAACAAGTATTTATTGGGAATGAATTGATTTAAATAAAATAACAGCGGGTACCCGGTGTTTGTTAATTATTCCCCGGTACCCCATAAAATCTATTTACTAAACACTATTAATCCGTTTCTATAACTAAAATTGTATACATCGAATGTCATATTACAACTTAAGAATCGTCCCATTTTAATAATTCGATTTTAATGAAACAATGTTACTAAAATTGCATGCAATACAATAATACATATATTTAAAAATCACTCTATTCCCCAGGAACTTCTTCAGTTGGTACACCGATTTGAAGTGCCTCTATCCAGTTTTCCGATGGCAATATTTTCTAGGTTTATTCCTTTTCCAATTTTTTACAACCAAAAAGCCATCTTATCTTCTTGATTTTCTTCCTCCTTCCTCTGTCGATTCGTTTAACACGAGATCCTAGCCCACTAACCTATTTATTCCTTCTAATAGAACTGTTTCCTTTAAAAAATCCTTTGTCATGTATGCTACCTTTTTTTTACAATTTCTTACCCATCTCCATACACGTTATCTACCGAACGTATGTAAAAATAAAATTTTCGTATTTTAGAGCTGTCACCCATATTTTACTGTTGTGCTACAGATATGTATATATTATCTATCTGTACGAATATGTGAACACACTCGTGTATATTTATCTACAATTCATTATGTTTACTTGTGCTCTGTTATTTTTAATTTTGAGGTTAGATAATTACTTTACTTAATTATTTCTCGATTGTCTTATAATGCCAGACAAACCTCACGTTTCTGTTCATTATAATTATTCTTATAATGGGACTAAATGTCCCAGAATAAAATTTACTTTTCTTTATTTCTTTCAAATATTTATTTTAAAATAAGTTTTTCGCTATCAAGGATAATACATGAAAGGAATTTTTTTTTCAATTATTGCAATTAATTTTTAATTGTCTCATTAAATAAGAACAATATGAAATTTGGTCTGTTTGACGAACGTGCACTATTGCAATGTTACAAAATATAAGAGCTGTAAAATATTGTCTCTGGCTTCTCCATACTACACATTCATTTACTTAAAAATGATTTAAAAATAAGTTCCATAATAATGTAAATGAATATAATAATTTTTAAGTCCTAAACTTCGCCCCCTCTCCTCTCTCCCCCCCCCCATGTTTCTTAATTGCCGACGTCTATTTTCCTTGATATGGATTATGAAGAACTCAAACTGTATTTTACCCATAATACACTGTATAAACATAGATGCATTTTTAATAAAGTGTCATGAAATTTAGAGATCATCTCCGAAATTCAGGTGACATCCTTGCATTCCTATCACCAGATCTAATCGAACATATTAGATTCGAAATATTCGGTTATTATATTAATAATTACATGAGCTTTTTTTAAACTATGACTAATTTATAAGTTTTTAATGTATACTCATTTTTATGAAACTTGTGTTCAGTCCACGCTTTAAGCGGGGATTGTATTATAGATCCTACCGTGTTTTACTTATAATGTCTATAAAATATAAAATGAATGGGTCCGAATATGACAAAACTATAATCTTTATACCAATCTTTAATTATATATATATTTTTTTTTGGAGTTGTAGCAGTTTAACCGATAATATATATTTATATTAACTACTTTCACTGGGTTAAAAACATTTTTAATTTTTAACAGTTGACCGTTGTATTATAGAGGAAGGAGATGGTCCGGGGTGGCGG